GAGTGGCCGCTTAATCACCCATTACCAGATATTACCGCATTTTGAGAGCCCCTCGGCGCTTTCTGATGTTAATGAAGAGCGCGCAGAGCTCGTTTCGCGTTTTATGAGCTCTTCCCATGATATTTGAACTATGTATTATGCAAACCATCGATAAACTTTCAGTTTGCAGACAGCAGACTGACACAAACACCAAACATTGGCAATTTAAAACTTCCTATGCATATGCATATAATATATATATCTATATATCTATATATATATATATTATATATCTTACTCTTAATTTCCTTGTTTCGTCAAAAGCTAGAAAAGCGATTCGTTTGGCAGTGAAATAAATAGAATTGAAATGTCGCTAAATGGTTGGAAAAGCGATTAAAAAACAATTTCAACTTTTATTCGTCGAGGAATTTAGTCTCTTGACTGTCGTAGACTCATCTATATATATTTATATATATGTATATATCTGCTGCTGCTCTTCATTTCGAAATTGAGAGGGGGGAAAAATGAAAACAATCATCAAATTGAAATGTGTACCAATTATAATTGCATTTTCCTATTCTTTTGTTAATTTGTGCTGCTTTTGTGTCTTTTTGTGTATTTTGTTTTCTTGGCAGTTGCAGTTGAAAAACTTAACGCTCCATTCAGCTTTAAAATTGCTTTGTGCCACTTTCAAGTTGCATTTGTTTTTTGTTGCTGTTTTTTTTTTCTTCTGCTGCTGCTTCTTGCTAGACCATGCCATTGTTTTCTATAAGATATATATATATACATATATATATGTGTATATATGTGTGTGTGTGTATTGTTTTTTTTTTCAACTTCTATTTCTAAATCGTCAATTGCATTTAACAATCAGTTCAAACGCAGCTGGAAACTTTTGGCGTTGAGGCAGGTGCACAACTCAGATTCTTTTGTTTAGATGGTTTTGACTAAGATGCGTATATATACATATATATGTATATATATGCATATATATATATGTGTGTGCATATGTCTTCATGCAATCATAGGAATTTTGAAAAATGTCACGAAAGTCACGTCTGGTCAACAAGCTCAATTTGCATTCATCTTTTTTTCCTTTCTAAGAGTTGAAACAAAAAAACATTCTTCAACTTGAGTAATTCGCTTGAACTGCGGTTCTGTGTTAGAGTGTATATAATATATTTATTATTAATTATCATCAAGTAATCCAAACGAAAGTTATGCCAAAACTGTCTGCACAAATTCAGACTCAAATCAATCACAGCATTTTCTGCAAGTTATTGATTAAAAGTTGACGAACATTTATAAACTGAATTTCGTTTGCAAATGTTGCATTATAGCTGAGTTTCGTGTCAGGTGTATGCAGGAGTATGCCAATAATGGTAGACTACACCACCCACAACACCAACCCAACTAGCAACTAGCAACTGCCACAGTTGCCAATCAAAATACATATCTAGAAAAAAAAAAAAAACACTTTCAAAAGCAATTGCAAATTTGTATTAACAATCAAATGTTGTTGCTGTTGTTGTTGTGTTTGTTATTTTAATCGCATTTTGATTTTATTAACTGCCAAAGTACGCCTCAGGAATTTTAAACAGGCTTTTTTTGTTTATACCCTTGCGAGAGGGTATTTGATTGAGGATTGCCATTTCTGACACTCTCAGTTTACACTTGAATATTTGAACAGAACGACGAAGTAGGTTAAATCATTTGGCATACCACTTTAGATATGGCCATCAAATAGATCTGTCTGTTTCAAGTCATGTGTGAATCAACGAAACACAAACACATTTCATATGTTGATTTAAGCAATTAAGGCCAATTTAATGTCGGATAAACAGCTCAAATAATGAAAATATCTTTCTTTTTTTGTGTACAAAACTACTTTTATTAATATCTTTTTTTTTTCTATATCAGACTACCCCTACTACGCAAACATATCACTTACTTGGCTGGCTGCAAAGGGTATTACACTTTTTGTCTAACATTTTTTTGGTTTGCTTTGTTTTGTTTTGTTTTTTTTTTTTAGTATTGATTAATTATTTGTTGCCTTTTGCGAGTTTTTTTGATTTCCATTTCAATGGTTTTCGGTTCGTTTATGGATTGCAACTAGTCAATCACATTTATATATATATATATAGATATATATATATGTTTATAAATAACTTGGCGCATTCGAATTGGAATCCAATTCCGATTCCGGACTGCAGCTAAAGTTTTGGTTGCCTGCGGGCTCTGCTTGGGGGCAGCCGCTCAAGCGTCCTATTTGGTGTGATTGCTGTTGTTGTTGTTGTTGCTGTTGTTGCTGTTGCTGTTGTTGCTGTTGCTGGTGGGGTTTTTATTATTGTTGTTGTTGCTTTTCGCCAATTATGGACACAGTCGTCGGCGACGTTGTTCGATTTGAAATTTCACTTTTTTTTCAATTTTTTTTTTATTATTTTGTTGTTGTTGTTGTTGTACGTTTTGCTATGTTTTTTTTGTGCACTTGTCTTGTTTGAACTTTTTGTCAGAGGCAGCAACAGTTGGACTTGGCCGGTTGGCATTTAGAGCGCATGAGTGCATGAGTTGAGGGCAAGTGCATGGGAATGGGAATGGGAATGGAAATGGGAATGGGATGATTTGCAATAACTGGCTAATAGCCAGATCCGCTGCACCAGCAACAACAACAGCAGCAACAACAAACAGCAGCAACAACAACAAACAGCAGCAACAACTGGTGAGCCAGCCAAGCAGACACAAGTTATAATTAAAGCTTCGCTTTCACCTCTTTCAATTGTCGAATACTTAGGAGCACTTAGCGCTTGCAACAGCAACAGCAACAACAACCACAACAACAACAACAAAATGAGCCCAGTTGCCAGGATCTGTGGTGTGCCTAGGTTGACCAACAACATTGGCCAGCAGCATTGTGCCTAGAACCACAACTTTACTAACCTCAACTGACATAGCTCTTGAATAAGTGCTAATTGGGCTGACAAAGTGTTTGTTTTTTCTTAACTACAGCTTAGCTTTAAAACTGAAATAGGGCTTAGTCAACACTGACTGATTATTTGAGCAGTGTTTTACAATACCAATTTACGTTTTTGGCTTACAACTTTTGTGTCTCTTTCTCGCAGACAAGCAAATCTTGATTTGGACTGTGCTAGGTTTTTATGCCTTGATATGGGTGGTCTGGTGGTGCCCGCCACACCCCCTCCTCCGCCTCCCCGTTCAAAAATTAAATGTTACAGCTGCCACTCACTTCTTGAGACAAAACCTGTCGATTCGACAGAATCAAGCCGAGACACGCATGTAGATTTGTTGGTTGTGAAAATGTTAAATGCACACAGATACAAAAGACTACAGTTAGTTGTATGCGTATGTGTATGACAAGCCCAGATACACACACACACACACACACACACACCCCTATACATATAAGTGTCTATGCTGTCTATGCTGTCTTTGGGTTTCCATATTCAAGATTGTCTATTTGTTAAGCTATCTGGCATGTTTGAGCAATGACCTCAACTGTTTGTTTTGTTTGTTTATTGTTTTTTCTCTTCTTTTTTTTTCGTTTTCATTTTTTTTTTTTTTTTGTCTTTTTTTGTTTTTGTTTTTTGTTTTTTGTGCTATCTCTTTCGTGCGCGGAATTCGTTAGAGATGTTAAGACTCGGATTGTCTTGCAAATGTCTTTACGAGAAATGCCCAACAAACTGTGGCTGTGAATAAGATCAGAGTTCAACATATTGGTGAGCATATTCTCATTTGTTACGTCGAAGATCAAGTCCATTTTCCTATTGCAACTCATAATGAACATGAATACATAACAAAAGCTGTCTACTCATAGAGCAGGAGCTATTAAATGGCGGTCAAGTGTTTTCTCGCTGACCTTTTCAAAACTCATTTGTAGAATTATAAAATCGCTGTGTATTTTATATATGTATACCCCGTAGCATAAGTGTCCAAAGAGTAGCTTCAGCTAGGGCCAACAAATATTTAAATTTCTCAACACTAATCTTGTTTTGATATTGTAACAAAATTGTTAAAAATTTTATTTTATACATTTGAAAAATACTTTGACAAAAACGAGACGTAATTTAACTAACAAGAATTAAAACTAAAAAGATCTGTTTGAGATATTATGGTTTAAGTTTGAAATGAGAATGATATTTGAATGATACGCACTAGAAAATAAAGACTAAGTTATCTTTTCAGCTTGATTGTCTGAGTGCATCTGCTTAGAACCATTACAGGGTATTTAACAATCGTTTATGAAACGCAAGAATTGTCGAAAATAATAATGTGTTAATGTTATTGTTGTTTATTGTTGTTTTTGTTGTCTTCTAGTTGACCACATATTCATTTGCATATGCATACAACAGATTGTTGTTGTTATTGTTATCTTTGTGGTTTAACTTAAGATTGATGATTTTAAGCGATTTGGCACGAGCGAGACACGAATTTTTATTTTGAGGAATTCCGCATCGGAATTTAACCCCCCTCAGCTCTCTTCCTCTCTCTCTCTCTCACAGCCGCCTCCCCCTTTATGTAAAATAGCTGATGCGATTCTTTTTTTGCATATGAATGCGTATCTAAGATGGGGGAGGTGGGAAGGGGATACGTCTTATACGTCTTATCTCATTATAGAGTTAACTCATCGACTGGACAAATAAAAAAAGAAAGGATACAAAAACAAAAAGCATTTTTCACAGCTCATTTCGAAACGGAGTTTGGCGAAGTTTGAAGTAGACTTAGCATGCTTAGCATGCTGACAGGAATGTGACCTATTAACTTATCGATAGGTTTTGCTTGAGTGCGTAAGCGTCTATCGATCGTAGTTTTGAAAGTGAGCGCCAGGCCCATTGACATTGAATTGAACTGGGGGCCGGCAACATGAATGTTGTATGTCTTAGTGTGTTAATAGAGTTTCTACATATGCCCATAAATACAGTATGTATATATATAGATAGAGGTATGTGTATGTATGTATATATATATATATGTATATATTTATATATTGTAGAGTGGAGTCTTACCCTTGGTTAGATTCGCGTGCAGCAATCAAGATCAAGTTTGATTCCTTGATATTTACTTTTGGCTTCGCTCCGTTTACCAACGCTCAATAATATATTTAAATCGCATCAATTTTCGCTATATGGCGCAAATAACTATTCAATAATATAAGCAACAACAAAAAAACGAATAACTAATTTTTATGGCTGCGTCTTCAACAGTGCCAAAAACAGAAGACGAAACTATAAAAACACACACGCACACACACAGGCCGACATGCAAATCATAAATAAATCTATAATAAATTTAAATTGACTGAGCAAAAATAAAAATTAAAAAAAAAAAAAACAAAACAAAAAAAGAATTTTTAAGTAAATATATATTTGCACATATATATATTTTTTATTTTTTTGCAGTATTTTAACACACGCGATGAAAACAAAAATAAAAAAAGAAGAAAAAACGCAACAAGGCAAATATCAACAAATCACATTAAAATGGTCTTGACTATGCTCGGTATGTGGAATGCGCCCGCTTCGTTTCGGTTTGCATCGGTTTCTGTTTTCTGTTTACTGTTTCGGTTTCGGTTTCTGTTGCTCTTTACCAATTTCACGCACAGTTTCGCACCGCAGCACGATGGGATGGGGATGGATGGATTCGTGTTTCGACTTCGACTTCGACTTTGCGTTACGCGCTCGACTCGCGACACACAACTTAAAACGTAGACTTGGCGCGTTGAGTTCGAACCGAAGACTGTCTGTAGGCTGACTGCAAACTGAGCTTAGCTCAGTCAGAGCTGCTGCCGCCGTTTCACTGTTACTGTTTCGTGCCGTTGTCGAAGTTAACTTCGTGGCGCTTCGTGCTCCTCTACGATTGCGTTTCGCTTTTGCTGCTACACTCGGCATATGCAGCTAAAGGCGACAAGATGTCAAATCAACTCCATGTGATCCTCCAACTTGGTATTCGTGTTTTTTGTGTGTTGTTATTGTTGTTGTTGTTTTTTGTTTTTATTTTATTTTTGCAGCAACTCGTTTTACAGTTGGTTATTGCAGCTCTTTTTGCCTGCCTTTCCTGCCGATGTTCCAGTTTCGCTTGTACCCAAATTATTTGTCAATTGATTGCGTTGTCATATGATAGACATGCATTTACTTTTGACAATCTGTCAAAACTACATATAGAGTCAGTGGTAGCTGCCATTAAAAGCTCAGGTCATCATTACTAGTTGCAGAAGTATGTAAAACATCTACTCATTTCAAGCGTTGCCCGCCATAAAGTTGGGATTTTTCAGAAGTTTTCGTAGCACGATGCGAAGTAGGTGAAGAACTTTATATAAATTTGAGACTAAATATCTTGAGTTAGTATTAGATTATAATTTTATCGAATTTTCTGCATAGAACTGTATAAATTTCCATGTCCTTAGAAATCGCCATGACTTTCTCAAAATTGAAGCGATTATTAATTCTTTTCATATATTCTGAAGTTGTTCCCTTTGTCTCTAAAACAATCATATTTAAAATCCGGCCAAGATTGATAATGATTTATATTTGGCTTCATATTTAATTGATCACAATTCTGATCACAGTTAATATAATACTAAATTCAAATAGAATTTCTTAAATTCAATTTCCCATTTGTTTTAAGTACAATAGAAAATAGTACAAGAATCATTGAGACATTTTTCAAACATGGTGTCAGTCTTAGAACCATATTTATAATCATCTCCTTAGATAGGATTGTGTTATTACCAAAATATGTAAGATTTGTATGTATTGATGTATCGATGTATACATAATTGATACGCTTTAGTTGGGATAGTTGATCTGTGGGCTTGTTAGCTTTATGGCTTGGAACGTTGAATGTTCCATAACTGAAACTGTTTGCTCCAATTGCAGTGTGGCAGTGCCACGCCCATTTAAGCGGATTGCCCCGACCGGCCGCAAGAGGCCATTTGTTAGCCAATGTGGGCCACAACAGAACCTGGCACTTGGAATGCGCCCGATGATGACGGAGCAATTTAAGTGTTTTGCCACTGACGTTGCCAGCCCGGAACGGACCCATACTCAAATAGAGATAGCAACTAAGACAGAGAGACAGAGAGAGAGAGAGAGAGAGAGGGGCGAGTTGTGGAAGGGATGGGGGGGGGGGGGGGGTTGGGTTAGATAGCTGCAGCTAGAGCTGAAGCGACAACATTTGGCCGCTTGTCATCCGCATATTTCTGAACCGCAACTTGGCTGCACTTCAATGAGCCCCTGGCTCGAACAGAAAGAAACAGAAAGAAAAGAAAAAAACAACAACAAAAACAGCAAACTGAAAACTTTCTGCTGCAGCCGTTGAAATTGGCCAGGCCAAGACGAGACAGGCCAGTGCCAGAGCCAGAGCCAGAGCCAGAGACAGAGACAGAGACAGAGCCAGAGTTAGAGCCCAAAAACCTGTTATCGATTTGAGGAAAATCTCATGTGACTGCAGCTGTATATACATATATATATATATATATATAACTCACACACACACACACACACGCACACAATTGGAATAGTGTGTGTGTGTGCGCTGGAAATTCGAAAAACTTTCAATAAGCGATTGGGAAACGTGAGAAGCGGCTCAAATTGGTTTTGCTATTGGCTTTGATCATCACCAGCAAAAGCAAAAGCAACAACAACTGCAACAAACAACAACTGCAACAAACAACAACTGCAACAAACAACAACTGCAACAAACAACAACTGCCAACTGCAAACGAGTTTTTCCAGTGCGAATGTCAATCTGCAAAATCTGCCAGCAACGTCTGGATGCAAGGATTGCAGATGCACATTGACAGCAAACGAGACAGTTAAAAATAAAAACGATACACACATATATAACTATATATATATATATATATATATCTATATGATGGCAGATAGAAGCTGCAACAGATACTTGGCGCAGATTCGGTTCGATCGTGCAACAACCTTTATCATAATTCACGTCACAGGAATGCCAATGAGTAAATGAGCAGCAACCAAGCCAAGCACGACTTGCTGGAGAGGATCAGCAGCAGGAAAGCTTAAAGAAAAACCAATTTGATTTCTTTTTAAATGTAGTTTTGCATTTATATTTACTAATTCCAGGCACAGTTTGCGATGCTTACAAATTATTACATTTATAATCAGAACGGTTTTGCTTTGCATTCTTCGATTGCATTTTTTATTTTTTTTTGATTTTAATATTATATTCGATGCGCTGAAAATGTTTTCATTTGCTGGATAATTCTTGTAGACAAGTTTTAATGATCGAATTTGAATTTTCTTCTACATCAATGAGAATATTCAGCTGCATTTTCGATAGCTAAACTCTGCCTGGCAACTGTAGAAAGTGGCCATTTGACAAGATATATCTCATGGGTTATTAATGAGCTTAAAACAATTACAATACAAGCAAATTGCGCATCTTAAGTTAAGTCAAGTCAAGTTCAGATTGCTCAACACACTTCTCTTTTTTTTTGTACTCAATTGCATGTTTAAAGGTGTGCATCTGCTTGGAATTTGTGGGCAATGCCAATTGGAGATTCGCATTCTTATTGGCAGTCGCAATTGGAATTCGAGTCACCCACGCACATATTGTAAATGCTGCTTGGCAAACATGGCAAAAATGTTCGCATCTTTCACTTTACCAACTTGTTGGCATTTTGAAACACGTTTACAGGTTGTTGTTGTTGTTGCTATTTGTTGTAATTGTTATTCGCTGTTGTTGTTGCTTACATATAAGCATTTTTCTTCTTCTTTATTTGCAGCCAAACTGATTTCGAAATGTGCGATGTTTTTTTGTTTATAAACTTGGTAATAATTTTTGGTTTTGTGTTTATTTTTGTTATTTCGCTGCTTTATGCAAAACATGTTCCCATTGCGCACTCCAAATATGCCAAATCTGCCCAAAACTGATGAATCCGCTTTAGAATATTTTCACTTTGTCTATGCCAACAACAACAGCAACAACAACAACAACAACAACAGCAACAACAACAACAACAGCAACAACAACAAATACATCAATAACATTTTCATATTTTTTTTTGTATTGTTTATTCACAAACCACTTAAAAGTTATTGAAAAAAAAAGAAGAAGAATTATGCACAATAAATGGTAATTTTTGTGTGATGCTCTTCGAGTTGTTTACCAGCTGCTTGAATAGGTGTTGGCCGTGGCTTTTGCATAGGCATGGCTGCCACCGCCTCCACCGTGGCTGTAGCTGTTGGCGCTGCTGCTGGCATAGGAGCCACCACCACCACCACCGTGACCACCGCCACCTCCGCCGCCACAACACTGTGGACCGCCGCCACCACCGCCGCCGCCATGATAGCCACCGCCACCAACACCACCGCCGCCGCCATGATAGCCACCTCCACCAGCACCACCGCCATGATAGCCACCGCCGCCGCCGCCTCCTTGATAAACTGGCTTCACCACATACACTTCGATGGTGGGCTTGCGACCATAGCCACCACCACCACCGCCGCCGTGGTAGCCACCGCCGCCACCTCCATGATAGCCACCGCCGCCACCTCCATGATAGCCACCACCGCCGCCACCGGGATGTCCACCGCCACCACCACCGGGATGTCCACCGCCACCACCACCATATCCGCCACCACCACCATATCCGCCACCACCTCCATATCCACCGCCGCCGCCGAAGCCACCGCCAAAACCACCGCCGCCGCCACCGCCAAGGCCGCCACCACCGCCGCCATGGCCGAACAGTTTTTTCTTGAGCTGGAGCAGCGAGGGCGTGGCCATTGCGATGCAGCTGCTCACGAGCAGCCAGCTCAACAGTAGCCTCCAGTGCCTCATCCGGATGTATTTGTTGCTATTTACGATTTGCGATTTGCTGTTTGCTGTTAATAATTCGTTGGGTTTGCCGCTTTTCAGCTAACAACTGCTGTTGGTCAACTAAGCGCCCTGTTGCTCAGCCAGTTGCAATTTATAAAGGCTGCTGGTGCACGGTTCTCAGCCCGACCCATTGTTTTTGGCCCGTTTCAGTTGTCGTCATCCACACTTGTTAGTTCAAACATCGTTTTTTTTTTCCACATATTTCTATTCGCCGAATGCACTGCGAGCTGCATCAACAGCAACAACAGCAACAACAGCAACATTAGCAACAAGCAGTAAATAAGATTCATTAATCAGTCTGGCAGCTCATCAATCTGGTTTGGGCCTTGTCGACTCCTAAACTCACCTTTGTTGACTGTTAAATAAGCCCATTTTTAGTTGAGATTTTTTAGATGCATTGACATTATTCAAAACAGTGCTCAACATGGGCCAACTTGCCACATTTTTCAAAGTGCTGCCAAGAAAATCACGCATGCGCAGCATACACCAGGGCAAAG